TGTGTGTGTGTGTGGACAGAAAACAATTTGAAAACACAGCGTTTTGAAAATGGCACCTTAATAATCACGTTGTTTTCCTTTAAGACAAATCCAAAATCAATGGTGACTGTTGCATTTTTAAATTCCTCTGGTGTAGTTAGGACGGAAATCATTTGACACATTTTCAGAGCGAAATCTTCATTTTCAAGTGTGGACAGGGCCTTGGATAGATACCTGTGTAAGGGAAGAACCCTTGTTTTAGCTTATTTCCTGCATACACCAATACACTCACCAGATATTCATTAATCTGTCCTGCTCTGCTCCCGAAATGAAGTATTGACCATTAATACCATTAATTGGAATGTGGTTTGCGTTTGAGTCATGTGACTGGGGACTTGGAATAAACAAGAGATGCGACACTGGAGATGCATGACCTGTAAATTTCTAAAGAAGGAAACCAGGAATTAACATTGTAATTGCAGGGCTGTCATTAAGTTTTGAGTCACCTGTAGCCTCATTCTCCACACCCGTAGCAAACTTGTTACTTTGTGGTTGAATTTGATCAACTACAGGCAATTTCACTGGTAATATCAAGGGAAAATCACGCATACTCAGCTGTAACAGGTGTTATGGGTTACGGCCCTTAATGACAGCCCTGGCAATTGGATACATACATGTACTATGTAGAACCAATCTCAATCAGCATTTTGTTGGGGATATGATTAAATAAATGTGAAACCAATTTTAACCATGTGAACTAAAATCCACCAATTTGCACTTGACTAATTAAGTCTGCCTACAGTACATGCAGTTCTTGAAATGTCAGCTTTCTTTTCTTTGTCTTTTTTTTTTTAAATTAGTAAGAACTGCATGTATTTGATTATTTCAAGTTCATAATACATTGAAAATGGTGTTCACTTTCTCACCAGCACTCACACTACTGTAACCAACAGACTTATTTCTACTCTTCTTACTTTAAGTGTTTCTTTGGTTTCCAGGTCCCATAGTTTAATATTTCTTCCAGCTGAGAGAAGTGTATTTCCTTTTGGACCAAGTCTGATGCATGTTACACCATGTTTGTCAGCTTTCCATTTGCTGTCAGAAATAACAACATGGAAAAGTAATATTTACAACTCACAATACCATATACGACATATGCAGTTACAGACTGTATTAGTTTGTATGGTGTGATTGTCACAGTGAAGGTAGCTCTGAAAAGAACTGTTGTTGGTGACTGATGTTTTGACAGCCTTAGCGGAAGTCAGTAAGACAGTAACTGACTATAGAAAGTAAGTACACTAATTTAGAACAAACACTCAAACATACTAACTTAATTTGACTTACAATAGACAGATTGGAACTTACTAGAACCAACCAATGACTGTTGACAAACTTTACACGAGTCTTCCAGCCAATATCATCATGGTTAAACTGACCTTGGGAATCACTTTCAATGGACCAGACTTATGACACCATTGACTGACAAACACTGTTCTCTTCACTCTGACGATAACTTCTGCTCAGGTTGTCAAAATGTCAGTCACCAACAACAGTTTTTTTTACACCTACCCTCACCTGGATGATCACACAAGGTGAACTACTGATACTCCTGGGTTTAAACCATTTACTATCAATGATACATGGTATTCAAACTCCAGGGTCTTCAATGCTGTCCTCAAAACTGAAAGTGCTCTGAAAGCTAGAGTTTCCCTAAGTTGTACAGGTTGATGTGA